AATATATAACGTTCCATCCATGATTATTATTAGGTCTACTCATAGGATAACAATAGAATTCTGTTGCCGACATGTTTTAAAATTACTCCGTCTAATGCGCGTCTGATGCTGTAGGGAGATGGTAATATATCTGTGAGATGCTATTTCAGTGTGCTACGTAATACTCAGAGATTGCATGTGTACAGTGGTAATCAATAATGGAATGTGCCTTCATCACAAACTCTCAGCAGGATCATCTTAATGCATTATACATGAGCTAGTCTTTTTGCCCAGGATGTCTTGTGTTATTGGTCATAGTAGTAGTAGTAGTAGTCACATGGTCTAAGCTGATCTACCTACCCGGGATCTGTTGTGGAGGCTACAGCATTTTGGCAGCAGGCCTAACTGCAATGTTTCTCACACTATTTGTTGATTTGCAAGAACTACTAATCAATATATTCTAAACACAGTTTTTTTAAGGATGACATTTTATTGATCTGTTGTTTTGATTTCTTCTTACAAGCTTGTTTGTTGCAGTCTGATTATGAATTTTAAAGTATATGTAAATAAATAAATATATAATTATTAATACACATTTTTTGTATATTTTTCTACTCAAAATCTGTTATCTTATATGACTTGTATTGTAAATGTGCTACCTGTTTTTAAGGTTCCTTCCTGTGTGCCAAAACAAGTTTACATGTACAAACATACTTTTTTGAATTTTTTTCTAGTCATATATCATCAGAACAATGTGTCCACTAAATTGGCAGGAAAATATTAGGGGACGAGTAAAGTCGGCGCTTGACTATGCCAAGTGCGAGTTATCTTGTCCCCTTTTTGCATGGGTTGGTATATGTTCAATAGTGCCCCCACCTGTGCCGCTCGAGTGTACTACTGGCAACATAACACAGCAAATATACATACATCATTTGCAGTGTCGGATCCAGGGGGTTCAGACGAACCCCCTCTGTGAAGGAACGTAAAAAAATACTACTGGGTCCTGGCTTACAAAAAGCATGCTAACCTACCTAGGCATAGGCAGACAAACTATGCTTAGCCAAAATAGGCTTCAATTAAATAAATTGTGCACACTGTTTTTGGTTCAACGATGTAATAATTTATGTACAAAAGTGTGTTCTTCAGGCCTATCGGTTCATTGATCCATGGAAGAAAGACTCTATTCAATAATGTCAGAATATAATAATATATTGCCTATGTCTGATATTTTTTCTCTATGTACTGTATAGGCCTGAAGAATGAGATAAAATTATCTGACCTTTTTCAAAAGGTGAAAACCTTGAATTTTGAAGAACTTAAAAATCATTGAAAGACTCCTCAGAAGTCCAGAAAGCTCATTTCTGGCCATCTAGGAATCAAAATTGTCCCAGGGGTGGACCACCTTTTATTTTGGAGTTTTTTGGAAACGCTTTGAACCTCCCTCTTTCAATTCATGGATCCTCCCCTGTTTCGTTATTGTCTAGGTGTATCTTCCCCAAACTACCAACCGTTGAGTCTGTGGTTTTACAATGTACAAACAAAAAAGTTATAAACGCTAGAATATTACCCCAATTTTGACGTGTACAGTATTCTTGTCCCTGGCACCCACAGCAACACCTTGTGGATGAGTATACTCGTCACTGGCAGCCAGCGTATTAATAGACTATTTTAATCTGTGCAATCTTAATAATGTATTTTTCTTTACATTTTTTTAAGTGTTTTGCATTTTTTTTTTTTATAGTTTAACCATTTTTCAAGTGCAATTTGGTAGATATGCAGATTTTTATGTTGTTCTATACAGGATGTTGTTTTTTTACTATTAATACTTCAATTTTAAAAAGAAACAGATTCAGGTCTGAAAAAATGATGGTGATGAGAAGCTGTTAGCTTCTGTAAATGCACAATCAGTTATTCAATCAATCAGCTATGGATATAGTTTGTTGCTATGGATATAGTTTGTTGCTATGGATATAATTAGTTAATGTTTACAATCCTGAGGGGATGTTTGCAGAGTCTTCTGACTAATTTTCATTTTCAATTAACTGAGACTGTCTAGCCACTTAGTTGACCCAAAAAAGTGACCTGCGCTTAGTAATTGCTATGTAAACTCTTTGGCTGATTACCATAACTTTGCTGAAGATTAAGATTTTTATTGGACATTTCGTTTTTGGCTTAGGTACAATACTTTCTATCATGTTACATATTAACAATTTCAGAGATTTTTATCAAGGTGGTACCTACCTCCCTCATCACTTTTCCTGCCCAGATAGGGTGATAACTAATATTTTTTATAGGGCCTTAGTTATCATTGAAATCATGAATAGCACCCTCTATATTTTCAATAGTCTTACATCTATTCATTCATACATTTACACTATTTTTAAAAATAAGAACCAGTAAAATGTTGCCCAGGCTCTGTGTTCTCATTTGTTTTGCCAATTTCAGGCTAAAATGTTCTTATTAGTTTTATAAACTTTTTAAAGACAGAAAATGATTATTGTACAGCAGTACACCTTTTTTTTTTTAATAAGAACCAGTAAAATTTTGCCCAGACTCAGTGTTCTTATCTTTTGGTCGATTTCAGGCTCAAAATGTTCCTATTTTGTTCTTACTTTACACACTTTTCAATCATAAGAAAAGTATTATTGTAGTATACACCTTACCGAAATGTATGTATAAGTCACCCAGGAAAAAAATTGCCCCTGAAAAAAAGGCCCGGAAAAAATGGCCAAAGAAAAAAGGTCCTGGTAAAAATGGCTCCAAATGACAGGTAGGTACACCTACTGTACTGCAATATAGAGAGTATTATATAGTCACGCCTACTGCACATAAGGTACAGATAGCCTAGACCTATAATTTTTGGTTTTTTCTAGTGTTAAATAAAGATCTCATCTGACATTTTACCTCAGCCTCAATTTGTTCTTATATTGTTCTTAATTTTTAAGCATTTTCAGCCTCATTGTTCTTATAAAATGTGTTCTTATAAAAAAGAAAAAGTGTATCATGGAACTTCAGACTACACCACACATCTGATGACATGAGTAGATAAAATGTTTATATAACTTTAACTTTATTTTAGACTTTGTGTTCTTATAAAATATGTTCTTATAGAAACAAAATGTATATTTAAACATAAAGGAATGGTTTTTAAAATGTTTTGCTGTTCCATAAAATATTTTTAGTGAATCATCCCCTCTAGGGTTTTACATCACTATGACAATTAAATTCAATATTTCTGAATAGTTTACATTCTATATCTAATTACTAGCTTTCAATTGAAAATTAAAATGAGAAAATATTGAAAATATTGATCCAAAAAGTCAAAAAAAAAAAAAATTGTTGTTTTGCCAACAAACCCAGTAATAACTTGATCAGACAGGGTTTTTTTTTTCATTTTATTACAGACCTTGACAAAATTCTGTGCTTATGGCTATTAATATCACCTAATAAAAAAATTTAAGTTTATAATAAATTTTTGAAAAAATACCGTATCTATGATGAAAATTTTACATTATTATCAACCCACCTAGACAATTACTATTTGGTTTGTTCTACAACTACTGTAAACTACAAATTTACCTTAAAACACAGCATCTCCATCCTCATTTCGATGGAGAGTGGCAATATTAAGGGGACCTGCTGGCCTATTTTCAACCTGTAATAATTTATGAAGCTGAAAGCTGAAGTAGATTGGTAGCCGATACAAGCAATTGGGAGTTATTTCGTCATACCAAGTAAATATCTTGTGACGTATTATATAGCATATTGCACATATTGCATATTTTTTACATAATTCCAATTGAGTAATCGTTAACACAAGATTAGTTTTCAAAAGCTTAATGAAGTTTTATTTGACATCTATAAATTCTTAGCTCTCTATGGTAGGTTTGGCAAGGAGAACAGACAGTATCTACTATTTTATTTATTTCAAGTAGTGAGGAAGGAAATGATTAAGACAGTGGTAGTTGAAAAAACTACAAGTTCCCACTGTAGCAGTGGTCTATATTATTGGCTTGGCTCAGTTTTGAGATCTTAAGATCCAAACATTGCTTATAATAAAGAGAAGAAAATAATTTTAAAAGTAATAACTTAATCAAAGAGCAAAGATATTTACTTTGATATATTTATTTTATTTGGCAATCAGAAAAGACAAAAATACAATAGAAAAGAAGTAAAACAAATACAGAAAAAATTACAAGAAAAAATAACACGGCAAAAAAATTACAAGAAAACACAAATCAGTGCCAAGTAATAGCACAAGCGGCACAGCCAATGTCACCCAAAAATGATGTGCTATTCCATACAAAAAATAAATAAATAAATTTTAAAAAAAAGGAATTATATGAATAATAATTACGTTAAAGAACGCAAAAATTACACAAAAACATTAAACACAGAAGACGCCGGTTGGTCCGGTGAAAGTGCTCTGGCGAGTAAACAAAATTTGGAGCGAAGAATTTTTAAAAACTGTCTATTTATTAACATTGTAAGTAATTAAGAATAATTATTATTATGGAGTTTCAATGTAGCATTAGGGGAAAAAATCCTGTTGTCCAAGTACAGTGACAATTGGAAGTTAGGGATGGATTGTCATGAATTTCTATATTATTTTTTTTAACCGTGGCCTAGGCGAAATTCTCAGTGCCAACCATCACCAACAAAATACATTTCTCCAAACAAAATGGGAAGTAGTAAAATCATGGTTAAGGCATCAATGCTTGCAAAACAGTCTTTAAAAACATAATAAAATTAATATAGATTGCTTTTGTTGTGATTGGAATTAGCTGAAATTATAGCTTAATTGACTTCCAAGCATTCCTTACTACCTCAGCAACTTCTAATAAAATTACTTTAGGCTGTTCTTTAGTAATTAGAAATTCCACACCCCTTTAAATGCTCTCGAATATGTGCAATACTTCCAGTTGGGCACTCTTTGTTTGGCCTTGTGAACCCATGTTTCACATACTGGATTTAAATTTTTAACTTCAAATCACAATATAATTGCATACAGTAGGCCTTACCTTGCTCAGCAGTGTTCATTTCATCGATACACTGATACTCGTTAAAAACGGTTAACCGTTTATTTTCACTTGGTTCATTACTACTTATAGGTGATTTTTCGGCTGCATCAAATGTCTCAAAATTGCTTGTTGCATTACAGTTTTCATCCATGTCTGTCTTTTGATTGGGTAATTTTTTACTAAAACAAGCAACTTAATTTTGTAAAGTTTAAAGCTACACAAAACTTTTTTTGAAGCTGTACTTGCTAAGCTACAGTTCTGCCAGTATCCAAACTAACACGGTCGAAATAAGGTTTGACCACCTTGGAATTTTCAGATGCACAACAGAGTCAATATTTACAAGCAACAGAAGAGCTTTGATGTTTGCCCCAAAGATAATAATCTAACTACAAATTTGATGTCCAAGCTCCTTGATTTAAGGTAAAGGAATCTTGCAATTCTCTCCCAGGAAGGCATAAGCACCAATCACAAAGTCCAATTATTCATGCCAGATTTTTCCTAATGGAGATGTATTCCGGTTTATCATGTGATGCATTTGACAACTAACTAATCACAGGAAATTATTCTTGTAACGACGTTTCCAGGCTTTCTTTTTCAGTTTCTTCGGAAGTTGACAATGGTATCAAAACACGCAATTATTCTTATATATTTTTATGGTAGAGAACAACTAAAGTAACGTGCATTGGCATTTAAATTCCAAGAAACTGCCTTTAGAAATTGTTCAACCCTGGCTTCAAGGTGGCATTGTAAAATGTGACTACCAGTTGAAATCTGGAAGAAGGGGTGGGGCTCATAGTGACATTCCTCAGAAATTATTCTTTTGAATACCTTTCGAGCTACTGAACTTAAGTTCTGGTATTTTCCTTTAAAAATACCTACTACGTTAATCAGTTATATATTAAGCAATTGAAAGTAGTCAATACCACCTACTGAAGTAAGGCTTATGTTTCGATTAAACCATACCTTAGTAGTCACAAGATTTAAAAGTAATAACAACCTACTAAATCCAACAGGTAGGCAGCTACTACCACTGCTAGTAATGAGGAAAACTCTTGTAAAACTATCTGTGGGGAGATGTAAAATGTTCCCACCTACTGAATGGAATTCTAAACATACTTTCTCATTGAGTAAGAAACTTTAAATAAAATTCTTAAATTAATGTGTAAATATTTTCTATTATTTTTTATGAAATGCGAGGGGAAAAATTTATTGATATAATGAGAAAAGAATTTATCAGATTTGCAAATGCATCCGCATGCCCAGTACGCCCCCATCTCCAAGACAGCCCCACAGGTAATCCCACTGCTAAGAATTATGGCACTACTATTGCGAGTGACTAGTGACCCAGAAAGAATTTGAGGAAAACCTACATTTCCTATCCATCTGTGAAACATATCATTTAGCTTCTTCTGACGCAGATATATCAAGGGGATGCTGCTCAGTTACAGAAAAACTAGGGGAAGACAAGTAATATTGCTTAAAAAAAAGTTTGTAGTACTTAATAGATTATTATCATTACTTTTATTAAGTGTTTAGTCCACAAAATATTTCCTTTTCTTAAATCCCAGGGGCCATGACCAGAAGCCCTATGAAGCTCCTCAGTTTACACCCCTATCGGGCATGTTGTTTTCAAGCCACCGATGCTTTTGAATAAACAAATATTATTTTCATCCTGATAGTGACACTAATGTATAGAAATGAATGCTAATCCCATGATCAATTATTTAACTTTATAATGGTACTTGAGGAAGAAATGAATTTAATTGAGGGCACATGAATAATGATAATGCCATACAATAGTTCAACTTGATATCAAAAACAGGTTGTAAAAAGCACATGGTTGGTACATCCAATGCCAATACAACAACCCACAACAAAAACAAAAAAAATAGGTATTATTTATTTTAGAGTGGTTTTCTACTATTGTATTCCAAAACATTCTAAAGACAGCAGCAGTGGCGATGCCAGCAGCGAAAAAATGGTTAAGTCTTCCTGTTAGACAAGGCAAGCCCACTGTTATCCCCAACTCATAATCGATCAAAAAACACAATTTTTTCTTAAGGGGGTAGGGGAAAGGAGAGGTGGACGAAGGAGGGGGAAGAATAATACATGCTAAAACTTCTCAAAACAGCCTAAAAAAGCAAAAAAATTATCCCATTTTTCTAGGCATAAGGAGCTGGTCTCTCCAACATGTCTTTACTGCTAGACTGATTTTCAGACCCGCTAACAGACAACTTTGTACCTAACCCAAGTCCCGTGTGAAAATCTTGGCGCCACCAATGGAGAGGACATGTGACACATAAATATAAACAATGGCAGATCACATGTTTTTTTACAGCTAATCCAAGGATGAAAAGCTCAGAATTATCACATTTGGATGAATTCATGATCAGAATTATTAATCATGACATTGTAAATAAGTGCGAGCGCCACTTTAAGGATTACACTATCCACCCAATTGGTACCTACTGTAGTACCAGGATTAAACCACTGGCCTTGATCTTAAAACAATAACAATAACAAAGCTATATTATAGGACTTATTGATTTATATATTATGATGAGCGCCCTCAATTGTCAGCTCTTCTGCCAAAATGGTGAAATGAGCATGGAGAAAAGAATGCTAGACGCAGGGTTCCCGGAACGCCGCCCTCACCGGCGTGTGCGAAGCACAACACAGGCTCAGAAGTGGAACGTGAATTTGGATATGGTTTTGTAGTCAGATTTGCGAGAAAAACTTCAGCTACCCGTATTTCTCGACTGAGACGTCAGTAGGAGCTGTAAAACACAGTACATCAGCAGCCCCTCCTCCATACAGTACAGACGTTTTGAACGTGATTGCACCTTCCTTCCCAGGTGTTCATGTAACATTGACATAATTGTTAGCTAACCAGTTGTGTGTATTTCTTTGTGAAAATGAGTACCGCGGCGTACTCATTTTCACAAAGCATCATTTGCATTCCCTCTTGGAAAGAGGGATTCGAAATAATTATCTTCGCTAATTAAATTAATCAACGTAATTTAGCTTACACTTATGAATTTATTGAGCACTTAAAATGTGAAATAATCATTTCACTACCCGACAAACTCCGAAATTTATTCATTCATTAGGCCTACATAATAGTTTAATATTGCTGTACTATATACTCCAACATCACTGGCGCATGGTAACAACCAACTGACTGCAGACCATTTCCGGTCACACATTACTTTCCATAACCCTCTAGTTCCGTCACCTCTGGATTATATAGTAATACAGTACAGTACTTCATTGCCAGAAATTCCAATATTGTACATGAAACTGCAATAGCCACAGCATCTTTAAACGTACTGTTCATTTTAAACTTTTCTAAAATAATTTTGATAATGAATGAATAAATCATTTTATTAATCAAAATGTAAAAGAAGCAGAATTGGACCAAAAAAAAAGAAAACTAATCAAAGTTCACTGGGACTCAACTTTAATCAATGTTCTTCTTTTATTATAGCCAGTTAGTTTTTATTGATATTGAAAACTATCGGACAAAAGGAACATTAGTGCTACTGAAGTGGTAAAGGAACTTATTAGACAATTATAAAAAGGAAACAATTAAACATATATCAGTCAATAAAAACCATCATTATGATACCCAATGTTTAGCAGTATGTAAAAACAAGATAATCTATTTAGGTTGCTTATTATTTTAAAATGTATCCTTGTTTATATAAAGACATTGGATAAGATGCCCAACAACGATTTACATCAGGTGACAACCCAATCTTTGTTTCAATTTCTTTTTAATTTTGTTTCATAGGAACGTACTTCAGTAACATTCATTGTCTACCGATACAATAAACAAACCTGTTTGTTTTATTCGTTTTTGTATTGGTACTGTATTCATATTTACTGTAAACCACAATGTTGTTAATCACTTCTCATTCTAAATTAAAGGACTAGGCATTATAGTGTTTCATGAAAAGTTTTCTTTGTCCCAGCTTTCCAATAGTTTCAAAGAACCACAATGAAAATCACTAAATTTAACAACTTTTATGGGCTATCAATGTATATTAATATCACATTTCAATATTTTTCAACTTGTAATTTGTTATCCTCAAGCAAATTAGGCATCAGATTTAGTTAGAACTTTAATAATTTTCTGACCTATCATCACACAAAATATATTTTGTGACCTATATTTAGAAGATATTAATCATTTTCAGATTACCTTTATCAGGATCAATTAATTAGGTCAAGATTGTTGAATTTCCAAAATAAAATAACTTAAATATTTATAGTTCAATATTTATATGTATTTTCAGAGGTGTGAGTTACTTGGTACAATGCCAAGCAAAGCACAAGGTCTGTAATTTGTTGTTTATTATAGTGTGGTCACATGTTGGACTTACCAACTGTACCAAACTATCATATAGATTGAATTATTTTATTTAAATAATGTTTTATTATTATGTTTACATAAATGTTTTAAAATGAAAAAAAAAAGGACTGAAACAACTTTTTTAAGCATAAAAATATGGGCAAAGTCATACATAATTAATGCACTAAAACCCATTTGTTCTGGTCTCAACTTGGAGGTCGGTTTAACACAGGATTGTCTAAATGTATTATGCACAATTTATGCTAATTAATTATGTAAATATTCCAAATAAATATTTGGCCCTCAGTAATCCTGGAAGATCACCAAGACCTCAACCATTTACTTTCAATAAACTGACTACTAGAGGTAGTCCAGCCTGCACTGAAAATGATAGACGAGTATTAAAACAAAGTCGTAATTTAATCTGAAATTTAATATTATATTTTAATGAAATCAGCTTATCGTATATCAGTGGGATAAATTTTTTTTCCAAAATAAATTTTCCAGAAAACCTGATGGAAAAATTTGCTGTCATAAAAACAAAAATAACTCAAGTTTTGGTTTATTTGATAAAAATATTTTTTCGAAAAAAAGCGGGCACAAAAACAAAACCGTACTAATAAAACAACTGTTGTGAATGTCAAAGACATGTCAGTTAGATTACCTTCCGTAATCAACACTCAAAAAAAGTAAATTAAATAATCGTATCACAGGAAATTCTGAGTCACCTACGCACACTGTTTGGCAACAAACGTCAATATTTTGGTGATACTCGCTGATGTCAGCTACTGATGAACTTCATAGTAATAGTAGTACAACTAGCAATCAAGTGGCTTTTATCTCAATATTCTTGACTTAAATCTTTGGCCTAGTTTAAATGTTTGTCTATGCAGGAAATCAAAGTTCCTTTTACAATGGAAAAAGCAACTTCAAAGAAATTTAATTGCATTTTAAATAATGTTGACAACTTTCTGATTTAAAATATGCTGAAAATTATAAAGAGAGCATTTTTAATTTAATGAATAATAGTAATTATTAATATTA